TTTTGGTTCTTGATTTCTTAACCAGAAACATTTTTATTTCTAGAAATGTCGTCTTTTATGAACATATATTTCCCTTTTTTGAAAAAGGTTCTACCGTTACCACTAATTCACAACAACAAAATGATGCTTGCTTTGATTTTCTATACTTTGATTCATCATCTCATCCTGTCAGTATTGTTGATAATTCTTTTCTCCTTAATATTGATTCTGCTCATTATGAAAATGGTCTTAATGACATTGATGAATCTGCTCACCCCTCTAAAACATCATCTCCTTCACAACCAAGAAAATCTACTAGACATAAATGTCCTCCTGCTTATCTCAAGGACTCTCGTTACAACTTGTTGATTGGTGTGCCACCACCAAAAGATAAACACATCAAGTACCCTCTTAATTTTGTTTTGTCTTATGATTCCCTTTCAACTTCATATTCTAGGTATGCTCTCTCAATCACTACCCATGTTGAACCTCGTGCTTTTAATCAAGCTGTTAAAAATAAGGTGTGGGTTAAAGTCATGCAAGCTAAACTTGATGCCCTTGAACACAATAAAACTTGGACTATTATGCCTTTACCCCCGAGAAAGACACCCATTGGTTCCAAATAGGTATATAAAATTAAGTACAAATCTGATGGCTCAATTAAAAGGTATAAGGCTTGGTTGGTTGTAAAAGGGTATACTTAATCCAAGGTTTAGAATATTTTGATACTTTTGCCCCGGTTGCAAAATTAAGCACTGTTAAAATTATTATTAGACCACAATTCTACAATTAGCAAAATTAGTTAAGTTAATTATTTTGTTTGTGTTGTATTTTTTTCCTTCAGTTTTGTTGGCTTCCCTTATACATATATCCAACCTAACTTATCTTTTACGATTTTTGTACAAAGGAAAAAATATTCAATCAATAAGAATTTTTCTTTCTTTACCACTTTATAGTATCAGAGCCATCTAGATCCACTTTAAATGGGTCACCTACCATTGGTACATGCACCATGGATATGAGGTGGTGTATTGAGAAAAAAAATTAAAAGTCTCGCCAATCCTAGATTATTAAAAAGAGTCACTCATCATTTATCCGCGTACTAAGCCCAATAGTGTTGGACGTGAGGGGTGTATTGGGAAAAACTCAAGTCTCACATCGACTAGAGATTAGACAATTAAATAGTATATAAGTGGAAAGCAACCCTCACCTTACAAGCCAGTTTTGTAGGGTTAATCCACTATTCTAAGAAACTCAAACCTTTATAATGTTAACTATTACCAATATTATGGAAAGGACTTTGGCTCATTTTATAAACATAAGACTAAATTGATTTTTTTTAAAAAATAAAGAAATAAATTAAATCTAAAAAAATAAGATAAATAATTAAATGTAATTGAACCTTATTAAAAAAAATTAGAATCCTTATTCATTCTAACAAAATCGTGTAAATGAAACAGAAATAGTGACTAATAAACAATAAACAAAAGAAAAAAATGCGTGAAAAATAAAACAAAGAGATATAATTCAAACCTCATAAATAATAATAATAATAATAATAATAACAATAACAATAACAATAACAATAACAATAACAATAACAATAACAATAACAATAACAATAACAATAACAATAACAATAACAATAACAATAACAATAACAATAACAATAACAATAACAATAACAATAACAATAACAATAACAATAACAATAACAATAACAATAACAATAACAATAACAATAACAATAACAATAACAATAACAATAACAATAACAATAACAATAACAATAACAATAACAATAACAATAACAATAACAATAACAATAACAATAACAATAACAATAACAATAACAATAACAATAACAATAACAATAACAATAACAATAACAATAACAATAACAATAACAATAACAATAACAATAACAATAACAATAACAATAACAATAACAATAACAATAACAATAACAATAACAATAACAATAACAATAACAATAACAATAACAATAACAATAACAATAACAATAACAATAACAATAACAATAACAATAACAATAACAATAACAATAACAATAACAATAACAATAACAATAACAATAACAATAACAATAACAATAACAATAACAATAACAATAACAATAACAATAACAATAACAATAACAATAACAATAACAATAACAATAACAATAACAATAACAATAACAATAATAATAATAACAACAACAACAATAAGAGCAACTCTAATGGGAGTTGCTTGTCCCATTTCTTGCTTCAAGGCACAGTTTCTTCCCATTAGAGCACTCTTACGTGGCACTGAGTTGCTTGAAGAAGACAGAAAGTTGCTTTTGCAAGCAACCGTTGCTAACAAGATTTTGGTGGGGGAAAAGATCACGGAGTGGGGGTTGACGGTAGAGGCGCGAGGTTTGACGGCGAGAGCAGAGCCGCGCGACGGCTTTATTGAAGGCCTCGAGAGCCTTACTAGAGTAGCACCATGGCCTCCCACAGCGGCCGACAACGCCTCCCACCAAGCACGACACGTGAGTGACGTCGTGCGGAGGTTGGGGTCGTCGAAGGAGGTGGCGATCTTGGCCAGGACGTTGTACGAAAGCAACTCGAAGTGGGTGGCGAGGAGATGGAGAGTAAGGGGAGGAAAAAGAAAAAAATGAGAGAGAAAGAGAATGAGACGGAGAAAATAGGGAGTGAAAGGAAGAGAGTGATGGTTTGGAAGAAAAAAAGTCGTTGGGCTTAAAAAAACGTAATTGTGTATTTTATTTTTAATATCTAATTATTGTGTATTTTTTATCGTAATTTATTTTCTTTCATTGTAATGCAATTGTCCTTTTTAATAAATATTTAAGTTTGGTTCATAAATGATTAGAAAAAAATTATAAAAACTAAATTTTTTAAAATTTCTTACCATTGGAGTAAATTTATGTTTGAGTTGCTTAATGCTGACATGGTACACTAGGGACTACTTTTTACACTTTTCAATGCATGAAGCAACTCAAACAAGTTGCTTCCATTAGAGATGCCCTAATAATAATAATAACAATAACAATAATAACAACAATAACAATAATAACAACAATAACAATAACAATAATAATAAAAATAAAAATAACAATAACAATAATAATATATAACAATACAATAACAACAACAATAACAATAACAATAACAACAATAATAATAACAATAAAAACAATAACAATAATAACAATAACAATAATAACAACAACAAGAACAAGAACAATAACAACAACAATAACAATAATAATAATAATAATAACAATAACAACAATAATAATAGTAATAATAATTGTGACCTAAATCATTTGAAAGGGCTACTTCTTCAACAACCTCATTGGCGACATCCTACGTTATGGAAAAAATGGATGCATTAGAAAAATGACTTGATAGAGCATAAAAGAAAGTTTATAAAAGAAAGTTTAGGAGACTTCGCAGTAGCTCTTAGACAAAGTCCACACTAATTCTAAATGTTAAATGATACACTAAATTATACTTTTATTTTTTATTTATTTTTAAGTTATAATTTATTTTCATTATTTTAAATAATTTAATTTGTTTTTTAATTTTTAAAATATTTAATATTATCTTTCCATTTAAATTGATATTAACAACGTTAATAAATTTGAACAAAATAATAAATTTTAACATTTTTTTGAAAATTAAAGAATTAAATATTTATATTCATAAATATTTTATTTATTATTATTTTAAAGATAACTAAATATACTTAATTAAAAAAAATTGTTTTCCAAAGAAAATTTCAATTTTTAACTTTTATATATTATTTTTAATTTACATATAATCATAATATATCATAATATAAAACTGACAATTTCTTTGAAAATTAAACCTTTTGTCAGTATAATTTAAGTTTGAAGTATAATTTTAAAATCCTATTCAAACTAAATTATGTTTTCAGTTATTTTTCCTGAATGAGAATACCTTTTAAGATTTTTCTCAACCTTTCATCTCGTTTTTTTTAATTCTTTTTTTATTCAATTTTAACATTATAAGAATATCAATAATTAAAATAATTTTTTTATTACAATATAAATTATTTATTGTAAATTTAAAATATAATTTATATATTTTAAAATATTTATTTTTTACAAATTTAATTATAGTATAATTTAAATATTCAGAATTATTTATTTATTATAAATTATAGTTTTATAAAAAAAATATTTATCATGTATATTGTATAAATTAAAATAGTTTACATATATTAAATATATTTGAAAATATTTATTATAAATTTGACTTGTATAAAATAAAAATTTATTGTGTTTGCACGTACTGAAATACTAAATTTAAATTTAAATTATGTAGATAAAAAATTATGTTTTTCTATCTTTTTCTTAATTTTTATAGCTAGATGTAAATTAAAAATTATCAACAAATTTAAAAATAGAGATATAATGTAAATTTGGATAGGAAACAAATCCTAAGTTTCGATGTAATTAACTAGCATATTAAAATTAGAGATGTTTGTAGTTTAAAACTTTTGTTTGTATATTGTGACATGAAAATTATATTTTAATATACTAGTTACATGACAAAAATTTTAAACTAGTTACATGAAAATCTCTTTAATATGTTAGTTACATCAAAAATTAGAATTTCTTTCTTATCCAAATTTACATTATATTTCACTTTTAAAATCCTCTGATATTTTTTCTTTTAATTTACATCTATTTGTATTATATCGCATACTAGCTAAAGAAACTCTTTTTCTTTTACAATAACTGAATAAACTTAACAATTTGAAAAAAAAAATATTTACAAATGAATTTAACCTTAATAATAATAATAATAAATAGTAAAATTTAAAAATTATTTGACATTTACTTAATTTAAAAGACGTGATAAAAAAAAATTGGGAAGGTACCGATGACTATTTACTCTACAAAATAAAGAAAAATAAATTGTATAATTGAGTTAAGAGAGAAATTGTATTCTCAAATCTTTTGTGAACGTTCCCAGCTTGTTCCCCAATTCCGATCTCTAACGGTAAAGTATGGAAATAAATAAATAAATAAATAAAAATATGATTCATAACGTTCTGTCTTTCCACTGTCACTGTGATTGATTGGAAATGCATTCAGAGAGAGAACAGTCATGGAGAGTCCTCGTTACTGCCAAAGCCAACAAATTCAACTTCAGACTCAGATTCATCGCCGCAACTCCAACTCACAAACCCACTTCCAACTTCTCCTTCTCCTTCTTCCGCCTCTCCATTCTCCTCAACCTTCCTAAATTCGCCTTATCAATCAATTCCCACCCCACGCAACCAACAAGATTCATCAAATTTCTCCACAGATTTCGCCCTCCATTGCTCAAGAAGAAGGAACCAAATGCCCCACATCGAAAGGTTAATCTTACTTAACACTTTTTTCGCTATATTAAACATGAATATTGAATGACAACTTGACAAGGTTAGGTTTTTCGTTTCAATTTTCCAACCCCATGAGGAATAATGAAATTAGTTGTTTTGGGCTCACTATTTTTGCAGGACCTAATTCGTATCATTGGCTTTTGGGTTGTGGGGCTTTTATCATGTCTGGCTCTATCTGTCTTCATGAATGGTCAAAGGGGAATCGTGATGCTTTCTTATGTGGGATCTTTGTTGCTTCTGTTCAGGAAATTGAAGATGGCAAAGGTTATGAATTTAGTAAGATTTCTCTTAATGGCGGTGGTAACTATATCTTGTTACTTGTTTTTTAATTTTGATTTTGATTATAATTATTGGGAGTTCGTGGGAAGAAGGTCATGGAATAAAATGGTTAATCTATAATAGTACGTGTTCGGGTTTGCTTATGATGTCTTTCTATCACTTTGATTCACAGATCTGCTGTTCTTTTCATAGAATAACGATTTCAAATTATTTCTTATTCCGTGCAATTCTTTGTAATTTCTGGATACTGATTTAATGATGAACCATAGCGCAGTGTGTGGTGTGGAGATATGGTCATAGCCTTAGCCTTTTATACGATTATAAATTGATAGGCATATATCGTGTTGTATGTGTTCATTCTTAACCTATTCCTTGGGTAGCAGTCTTGCCTGATAGGAACAGACAATGAAAATTTTTTGTTTTACTTTCTGAATGTCTCGTTACGCTCCTTGTGTGATATTAAATGTAAAGATGTGTTTAATTTCAAAAATAGATAAATTTTGATATGAATTAGAATGCTCCGTAAAGATTATGTGAATATGTGAATATGATGAGACAATGTGAAAAGTGAATATGAGATATGAAATATGATGATATGTGACAATGAGACATGATATATGAGTAACTATGACAAGTGAAATGATAAATCCATGAGTTTGTGAACGTGTGACTTGCATCATATGCATTTATGTGACGGGATACGATATGGAGTACATCGTTAGGGAAGACCCTCCAAGTGTGAAACATCTTAGAGGAGTCCTAGGGGATAGTGGGGTTTGAAAGGCTCAGTTCTGCTCGTCTATGTGCATGGCACGTATCTTGCGCGACTTCACTATCTTGACGAGACCCTAGCAGTACATTTTTCTAGTTGAGAGTGTACGATTGAGCCAGCATGTACTCCTAGATTACTCCAGGTATGTTGCTTCAGCAACATACCACATGATATGTGATTATGAGACACGGGACTAGCGCCACATGCATGCATTTATGAGTCGAGTCCATGACATCATTGCATGATAAATGAGTGTACATGTGATACCAATTGTGTATGTGTGTTGTCTATATGTGACTGGTGCTTGTGACTTGAATATTTGTTGTATGTGTGCTATCTAACTATTATTTTTACACCTGAAATTGAGTGAGATGTTTCTCACTCCCTTATTTGCTCTATGTGTATTTTTATTGTGTTATAGGTGATCATCAGCATGAGAATGTTGATGATGAGACTTAGGCTTCAATCGGGAGTGCTTTGGGATATGTGACATCGGGGCATAGTTAGGACTAGTTTAGGACTTTAGTTTCTTTCTTGTTTGGAAAAACTTTAACTTTATTTCTTTTGTAATTTCCACAAGTGAACTATGATTATGTATGTGAATGTGAATCCTTTACCTATTTGCTAATTGAGAAAGTTTTTATTCATTCAAATTTTATCTTACAATTATTGTGTATTATGTCAAGGTAGAGGGTGTCACATTTAGTGGTATCAAAGCCTGGTTGATTTAAACCAGACATGTGTGTTATGTGTTCATCGTGATTTTGTTGTGTACTTTGATGGTGTTTTGCTTTGTGATGAATATGTTTGCCCTGTATTGTTAATGTTGGCTTAATGGTGTGTTTCCTTTCTTAGAATATGGCTGGTAGGAATGATCATGTGATTGTTGATGCTTTTTAAGCGTTAGCACAGGGCTGGAGCTGCTCCTAACTAGTTGGAGTAATTTTAGCGTAACAACCCACCTACGTTCAAAGGAGGTTATGATCCCGATGCTGCTAATATATGGTTGACAAAGATCGAGAAGATCTTCAATGCTATGGAGTGCCTTCCTGCTTAGAAGGTGAATCTGGCCACCTTCATGTTGATTGTTGATGCATACTTTTGATGGGAAGGAGCACTACAATGGATGATTGATGAGGGAGTGCATTTGAATTGGGACAACTTCAAAAGGGTCTTCCTTGAGAAGTACTTCCAGGATGATGTGAGGAGTCAAAAGGAGGTGGAGTTCCTTGAGCTAAAGCAAGGAAATGGCACAGTAGCAGAGTATGCTGCCAAGTTTGACTCATTAGTTCGTTACTGCTCTCATTATCATGATGAGGGTGGTGAACGGGCTAAGTGCATTAAGTTTGTGAATAGGTTACATCTCAAAATGAAAACAGCGATCAACTATCAAGAGATCTACCATTTTCCAACCTTAGTGAACAAGTGCCACATCTTTGACCGTGACAACCGTGCACGTGCTGCTTTCTACAAGGGAGCTAGAGGTCCTATACATGCTGCAAGTTCTGGTACTCCGAGTAGGAGTAAGCCTTACTTCGCTCCTGCTAGGTTCTAAGGGAGTCGAGTTATTGCTAGTGGGAGCAAATCACATGCTGGTGGAAGTAAATCCTCTATCTATTTTTTAAGCTCAGCTAACTCCTTAAGAGACATCCTATAGGGTGCTATAGGTATAGGTGAGGTACCTGGCACTAAGTCTATGCTAAACTCAGTCTCTCTCTTAGGCGGTAAACTAGACACATCCTTAGGGAATACTTCTGAGAATTCTCTCACTAAGGGAATCTCATCTAGCTTACTATCAGTCTCAAGTATTAAGGAAGCTAAGATCATGTACACTCTTTTATTTTCTTTTAAACAAGTTTTAATATTGGCAGCATTAAGAAATTCTGTCTTCTTACATTCACCAAAAGAAATAGATTTATCAAAGCAGCTTAAGAGGACATGATTGGACGATAACCAGTCCATACCAAGGATAACATCTAATTGACTAAGAGGTAAACAAATCAAGTCAACTAGAAACTGCTTATCAAAAATAACCAAAGGACACTTCAAACAGACTTAGGATAATTACAGGGCCATCGGTAGGGGTTTCAACCATAGTTTTAAAAACCGGACCGGTCATCGAACCGGTTAAGGTACTGGGTCAGTGGGTCAAAGGTTGAACCGGTGGGTCACTAGTTGAACTGCATGACTCGATTTTTATTAAAAAATATTTATATTAAATATATTTTATACTTATAAATTTTAATAAATTCATATCTTATTTTAAATTTCAATTTTTCTATCTTATTTAAAATTATTTTTATTTTTATTTTGTAAAAAAATACATCAAAAAATTACATGTTAAACGATATATTAATACAAATTAAAAATATAAATAATATGTACATATATAATATGCTTGCAATTAATATCACAAAATAATATATGTAATATTTACATAGATATTGCATTATTAAATATATAATTTAAAATTAATAATATACTATAAAAGTTATTTAAGTTGTATATATTGCAAACAAATATATTAGAACAAGTAGTCATTGTTATATTTAATAAGACTCCTTGCTTTTTCATTAAGAGATTCAATTTTCATTATTATTTTTGTGATTTATGGTCCCTTAAAAAAAATTTTAAAAAAATAAGAAAAAAAAGTGGTTGAACTGGTTTGACCCACCGGTTCACCGGTTGAACTGGAAAATTGACCGGTTCAATCCGGTTTGAAACGGATCGACTGCATAACCGATCTAACTTCAGATTCGAACCGGCTGGACCACTGGTTCCCGGTCCAACCGGTCCAACCGGCCGGGTCGGTCCGGGTTTTAAAACATTGGTTTCAACAATCAAATCAAAATTTAAATAGGACACAAGCAATTTCAAACTTTGGACACAAGAAATAGAAATGAAGGAATGAGTTGCATCAGAATCAAATAGTACGACAAAAGGAGTCTCAGTTATGAAACAAGTACCTTGTATTAGATTTTCAGACTGAGCGGCTTCAGCACCACTAAGAGCAAATACTCTCCCAGTAGCCTTCGGACGCTTAGTTTGAGAACCTGATTCATTAACACGTGGTCTTGGCGGTTGTGGACACTGGGTGCTGATATGACCCTTTCTATTACAATTGAAGCACGTGACATCCTTGTCAAGACATTCATAGCTAATGTGGCCATGTCATCCACACTTCTTGCATCGATCCGTGGGAGTAGAAACGAACTCTCCAGCATTCCTTGTACCACTAACAGTGGATCCCCCAACATAGGAATGGGTCGTTCCAAACTACTAAATAGGTCTATAAATCCTAGTTGAGAATAAGCCGTTTCAAACATGGTCGTTATGGGTTAAAATGCAACCCTAGAATGGGTTGTTCTAGTTTGAGAACGGGCCGTTCTAGATGTAAATTTTCTGCATGACGAATAAGTGCAGAACGAGCCGTTCCAGATTCGAAACGGGCCGTTCTGACCACTCCAGACTTCTATAAATAGGCCACATGTATGCAGTTGAGGAGAAGAAAAAAAAAGGAACTTAGAGAGAGGTTTTAGAGAGAAGTTTTAGAGAGAAGGACTTTGGGTTTGTGAGCTCATTTCTCTCCCAAATTTCTCTGTATGATTCTTCTTCTCCTCTAGATCACTAATGTCTTATGTTTCCTCTTGAATTCAGACTAGAAAGCTTGTTTTTGGAGAATTGAAGTTCAGGAGTCGAGCTTTGGAGGATACTTCTTCTTTTTCTCAGTTCTTGGCTATTTTGAGCCAATTCTCAAGTGAGAGAAGCTAGAATGTTTGTTATTTAGGTTGCATGTGAGTTCAAAAACTCAATTGATGCATGAATGTTGAGAAATTGTTCATTTTGGGGTTTTGGGGGAAAATAGGAATTTTTTGTGATTTTGATGCATTGGATGAATGCATGCTGATTTTGAACTTGTTTTTGAATTGTATGGAACCTATGCATTGTGTTTTTTTTGTGTTTGCATGTGGTTGGATTTGCTGATTTGATGGGTATTTTTCATTTTCAGGGTTTTTGAGCTAAAATGGGGTTTTGGGCGATCTTGATGAATCAAATGGGTACATGTTGTTTTTAGGACTTGGATTGAACTGTTGTTGGTGCATGGATGTTATTTCTTCCATTGCATGTGGATTAAAAAGTTGTTTGATGCTATGTTGTATATTGGTTCATATATGTATTATATATGATGTATGGTGGTGAATGATTCATATGTATGCTTGGTAATGATATGTATGAATGTTTAAATATGATATGGCATGAGTATATGTTCATATGAGTATGATTATTGATCATAATGGTGGGTAGACCATGTATGATGTATGATGCATTATTGCATGTGATGCCTTATGACATGAGTATGATTATTGATCATGATGGTGGGTAGACCATGTATGATGTGTGATGCATAATTGCATGTGATGCCTTATGGCATGAGTCTAGCCTAGGACTTGAAGAGAGGGAAAATGTTTTCGAACTGGAAGAGCTCACATAGAGTCTCTTGAGAGTGGTGCTCAGGTAGGCCACTAGTTTGGGTGAGTCTCCTTTAAGTCCTCAACTAGTGTTGGAGCAGAGAATGAGGTCGAGAGTTATTTCCTTAACCAAGTACTGGGAAACGTGCGTGGACCTTGCAGATAGTCGGTGGGCGAACTCTACAAGTGACTTGGTAATTCATGTCAAGGTCGCGGTAAGCCTGTACCCAACTGTGTTATACCTGACGGTGGATTCGGACTTCCAATTGTGTAAGTGACATCATCCGAGTAAACTCGAGTAAGGATTATATCCTGTTTAGCTGTGACCAAGCGGGCGCATTGGGCGTGAAAACGGTTAAGGTGGTTTCGATAGGATGGGATGTCACTTATATTGCTCTACTTTTAAGGAGATCTCCTAGGTGTATGCGTGACGACGCATTAGATGATTGATATGTATTGATATCTGTCATGAGTTGCATGTTATTGCATGATTGTTGTTATGATGAAGTGTGTAGCGTGACTTCATGTTTGATGAATTGATGATTGATTGAGATAGGAGTTCCTTTAGAACTTGATTTATTGAATATGTAATATAGATTTTGTTCTATACTTGTATGATTGTTTATTGAACTCTAGCTTACCCTTCTGTTTCCATGTGGTGGGACTACGATGATCATACTTGGTATAGGAGCAGGTTAGGGCTAGCTTGGAGTTGAGGTGACCGTTGCGAGATGAGGAGTTTTGGTTCTAGTGTCAGAGTTACCCTCTTGGGTAGCTGTTGTTATGCTTGATCGGCACTAGGGTGATGTTATTTTGGATGACTGTACATATTTAGTGTTGTATTTTACACATAGAAATGTAGTTTTATTATTATTTATATACATATCTATATGTATGAGTTATCCAACTTAGTATTTATCGTAGTTCACTAGTGTTAGTGCAATTCTACTAAGTGTAGAGATCATGGGGGGTCGTTACACTTTTATGGTATCAGAGCCAGTCGAGTCTTTTGGGTACTCTGTGGAGAGTGATCCTTCTAGGTTTCTGTTGTGTCATATCTATAATATGTGTTAGTTTTGGTGATTTCTGGTGGTAAAGTGTTACTAAAGGAATGTTCTGAATTCTTTCAGTATGGTGAGGCCTCAGTATGACCAGATTGCTAAGGTCATGGAGATGATGGTCATGGCAATGCAGCAGTAGAGTGCTCACTTTACTCAAATGGAGGCAGGTAGAGTTGCGGCTGAGGTAGCTAGACCGGTGATCTCTCAGGATGAGAGAGATTTAGTAGAGTTCAAGACATGTCAACCTCCTCAATTCAAGGGGGATTCAGATCTTGATGTGACAGATCAGTGGTTAAGTGAGATGGAGAAGATCTTCAGTGTCTTGGAGTCTTCTGAGGAAAGGAAGTTGGCCTATGCAGTATACATGTTGGCGGGCGAGGCTGAGTACTGGTGGAGAGGCACCAGGCAGATATTAGAGAGCAGGGGTGTACCTGTTGATTGAGATTGCTTCATGAGGGTCTTTTTGGAGAAGTATTTCCCGGATAGCGTTAGATACGCTAAGGAGGTGGAGTTCATGAGACTGTAGCAAGAGAGCATGTCTATTTTAGAGTATGCTATGAAATTTGAGCATCTAACTCGTTTCTACTCTCAGGCCATATCTAAGGCTTGGAGATGTAGGAAGTTTGCAAAGGGGTTGAGGCATGAGCTGAAGAGGGTCATAGTCCCTATGTCTATAGTGGAGTTTCATGCCTTGGTTGAGAAGGCAAAGACTGTTGAGAGACTGGAGGGTGGTGGTAGCAGTGACAAGGCTGCTAGAGTTCAAGAGGGATCATCCGGATCCAAGAGGGGAGGCTAGCAGAGGGGACCCTATGATAGGCCTGTTCAGTCTCAGAGGGGTGCTATTAGTAGGGGACCTTGCCCTACTACTCCCCAGGGTAGAGCACCATCAATGCGATGCTACAGATGTGGAGGAGCACATATGGTTAGAGATTGTTCCTATCTAGGGAATGTGGAGGAGCAGATGGGCAACACAATCAGGTTGACTCGAAACCTCCTACCAAACACTTTTATCGGGCATCTCAAACACATCTTCGACATCACCACAAAAATTGAAGTTGGAGTAGACACAGACAAATCAACATGCAATGCAGATACCGATAAACCCAATCTCCTCACACATCAATAGAGATAAAAAAATATGTGGCACCAGAATCAAACAGGAACAAAACATCCTCACCTGCTACCTTCCCTTTCCCTTTCACTAGATCTGATGAAGTGGAAGCCTCTACACCTAATAAAGCAAAAACTCTCTTCACAACTATAGGCCTAGGTGGCCTCGGGGTACTCCCAGATGGAGTCGGTGGCACTTGACAATCTCTAGAAATGTGGCCTGGCCTACCACACCTGAAACAGACATTCCCCGGATGGGAACAATCTCTAACCACATGTGTTACTCCACATCTGTAGCATCGCCTGATGGTGCTCCACCCTGGGGAGTAGCAGGGCGAGGTCCCCTACTGACAACACTCCTTTGAGACTAAACATGCTTGTCATAGGGTCCCCTCTGCTGGCCTCCCCTCCTGGATCCGGATGA